AAATTGAAATTGTTCTATTAATATTAAGAAAGAATAATCATTTAAATATTCAAACTGTTTTAAATTATATCAAAGAACAATTATGGAAATAGTGAAATAACAATTCTTTTATATTTGTATTGATTTGAATACAAATCAGATCAAACAGAAAAAAAGATCTTTCATGACGAGATTATTCAAATAAAAATGTTTTCTTTTAGGAAAATCTTCGTGTTTTATTCAATAATTAAAGTGATTATCATCTTAAATCAGTTAATATGATGATTGAAGAAAATTTATAAGAAAAAGATGAGATGAATACATAATTAATTTCATATTCTGCTTTTCAAGATTGATTGAGTGTCTGTTTAAATGATAAATTCAGAAAGATATGATGAAATTTGTTACACATATCATAATCTCATTCAAGTTGAAAAATTTGATTAATAAATCCCAATTCGAATTGACTTTTAAGTCCAATTGAGAACGTGAAAGAGACATTTGTTAAAAAGAAAAAATCTCTTTGTAATTTGTTAACGAATAATTTCAAAGACATAAAATGAAAATATTTATAATTTTATCAATTAAAATCTTCAATTCTATTTCACAATTTTCATTTAATAAAACATCGAATTGATTCATATTTTTTCTTCTAATTGTCGAATCAAATTCCACAAAGATTCATTGAAAAGTAAATATAAACACAAAATTGAAATTAAAAGATTTCTTTAATAAATTTGTTTTTCAAATCAATCGATCGAGTTTGTCAAGAAATTTCTCATTAACCTTAATTGAAATCACATTGAATAGTTAAATGAAATTTATTCAATCGAAATTCGAACATTATCAATTGAATAAAAAGTTTTTTTTTTAATTGACTTTTTAACACAAAGATTTGTCGAAATAATTCGTATGAAGATTAATTGAAGATATTGAAATGATTTTGTAGAGATGAGATTTTTATTTGTAAAAAAAATAAAGATTTGATTCTTAATGAAACAACTTTTGGAATTGGAAAAGTCATTTGAGATTTAATTAAATTGAAAAGAATATTTTTTTTCAATGTTAAATAACAAAAAATTGATGAAAAATGAAGAAAATTTTTTTTCAATATCGAATCTCAATTTAGATTACAATTATAAAAATATTCTTAAAGAAGATCATCGAAACAGAAATTGAAATTAAAAAACGTTTAGAAAAACATTATCGAATGAAAAATATTGAAATAAATTAAGAATTAATTCATTTTTATTGACAATGAGATGAAAATGAACAACAATGAAAATAAAATTCATTGGTAAATAAATTAACCAAACAAATTTGTCCTTTAAAAAATTCGAATTTGCAAAAAACACGATTTCNATAGAGATACATAATAAAGGATCTATCAAGATATTTCCTTACGAATATAAAAAATATACATCAGACAAATAATAAAAGGAATAGATATTTTAGAAAACACGATTAACTAAACAGAATGTTGGATACCTTAATTTATTTCAGTAAAAACACGTTTCAGTAATATAAGACTTTGAAAAAATAAATTTAAGTAAATAATCGACATTTTTATTACTCTTTTTTTTTCTTTCTTTGTTATTTCTACGGTAATCTTTCTTTCTGAATAAACAAAGAGAAGAATAAATAGCTTCTCGTCATAGTAAAAATTGTATTTACTCTTTGATCGAATGATTTGTTTTTTTGGAGTACAAAATTGATACAATGACGCTGCTAAGAAAAATTTGTTATTAAACAACGAAATACAAATGTTCATATTGATGAAAGTATAAATGAGAAATGATTTACGATACTAACATTAACTAACACTTGCAAGCTTTCGACTTAACAATTGTTGAATTCTTTTTACAATTTAATTTTAGATTATATTGTAGACTCAAAATGTGTTCATTAAGTAATTCTAATCCATCAGCAGCACTTACTAAACAAAAACACAAAGAAATAGCACGATATTTAAAACGAATTAAACATATACCACCATCTCCTTTTTACTTAGCTTGTGAGAAAGGTGATTTTGCTTACGTTGAGAAGCAACTAAAAATGCTTTCATCGGATGAACTCGATCAAATAGAATCAACTGGTGAAACTTCGCTTCACATCGCAACACGTAATAATCAACTTGAAATTGTACGTCTATTACTTGAAAATGGCTGCAGTCGAAATATTTACAATAGTTCTGGTAAATTTCCTTATGAAGAAGCTCGAACTAATGAAATGAAACAATTATATGCACCGCCTAATATTTCTCAGTTCTTCGAAGAAAATCCAAAAGCCTCCTATGGTATTTTCGTACCTTTACAGCAGATTGGAAAATTGGCACGACCATACACAACCAATCCGAATCAGATTACAACAACAGGAGATGCTAATCACAGTAATGGCACCTCTATCAGAGATCAGGAATTAAAAAGCGAACAGGAAGTTATACAATATATCACAAATCGACAGGCATTGGCTATGTGGATTAAAATTTGTGCTTGGGTTTATCATAAATGTGGTGGAGCAATAAGAAGAGATGAAGAAGAAGGAAATGATTTTGCACCAGAACTCTTTGATCTAGATAATGATCGAGATTTAGAAACTTTTTTAAATTCTCTCGCTCCAAACGAAACTCAACCAAATTTAATTGTGAAACAAAGTATTAAAAGAGAAGAAACACAAGTATTAACCTGGAAACAACGTTTTATGAATGTATGTTGTTGCAAGAATGTAATATCTCCTGCATCACAGTCTTCTCAATTGACTACCACCGATTCTGTCCGCACTGCTCAACCAAATCGTGATCATTTAAAATATTCTTCTTTACAGAGCATTCACGGACAATTAGCATGTAGTAATAATCCCAGAGACTTTATTCGGGCATCGAAGGATTTTAACACAGTCGTTCCTCTAATTTACTTATATACAAAGCAAGAACTACGATTCTATGCTGAGTTAAATAAGAATCTAGCTACCATAGACAATAATCCAAATCGAGCTGCATCCATATGCGATCGTTTCGTTCGAGAATTTGATTTAAGAGAAGCTGAACTTTCAAAATTTGGCTTCATTGGTGTAACATATCGAGGTACGACTATGTCTGAAAGTGATTTTGAACATTACCGTCAAGCAAGTGAACAAAATCCAAAATGGACGATTGTACCTCGAGCTTTTCAATCTACAACAGTTAAACGTTCAAAAGCGATGGAATTTATTGATTTGAAGAGAGCCAAAGGAAAACATGTTGGATTGTTAGTCTATCATATTCCTGTTGCTTGTTCTACTATATTTTCAGTTAAAGAAATTTCTCGATATCCCCAAGAGGAAGAAGTATTGATTATGCCCGGTAATCTATTTACAATAATGAAGGTTACACAATGTGTGGATAATCCGGATCTACCTGAAGTCCATTTAGAACATGTAAAACGAGAAATTTCATTTTTTAAGAAAGTTCAAACAATCTTTCGAGCAGCCACAACAACAGCTTCTGGAATCGATTAATATAATAACTGTTTTCTATCTACTATTTTACACATGCTATCTGGTTCTTTCGTTCCTTTTCTTGCTTTTTGAAGGTGAGAGTGAAGCTTGTGTATTTTTGCTATTGGATAAAAATGAAGGATCGGCCATAGATTCTGTTGCTTAGTGAAATGACAACTATATTTTTACTTTCAAAATATTACATGCATGAGCTTTATTAATCTTAGTTAAGTTACAAAGAATCATGTAAATTGATTGTTTAATCTCTTTTTAACCGTTCGATAATTTTACCTAATCTATGATTATTATCAAAAGCGTCCATTTCTTCAAAATAACTATGAGCAAGTTCTATCAAATAATCTAATGTTTCTTTTCGTATATCATCCAGTACAATTGGATTTTCAAGCCAAATTTGCCATCGATGATACATATCAGTGTTTAATATACTACTCAATTGATAATCAATATTATTCTGTGGACCATCAAAAATAACTTTTAATACACTAGTTGAATTATTCCCCCAAAATAGAAGACTTCGCTGTGCATCTGGATTCAATGGATCGGGTACATAATCTCCAGTACCGAGAGAGAGAATAAAAATATTATCACGATTAATATTTTTAGCACACGCGTCAGCATAAGCGATCATTGCTGGATTGTTAGCTTGAACTCCACCATCGACAAAAACAGAATTACTTAACTTATAAGCTGGAAAATAGGTTGGTGCAGCTGTTGTACACATGAGAATATCACTAAATCTGTGATTCCGACTAGGATNACCAGGATTAATTGCAGCATCAATTTGTATTGATAACAAATATTCTAATGAATGGGAATAAGTCGACATACAAACTCTTGAAACAACACCTTTTGTTACCGATAAATTATCACCACCTCAAAAACAAATATCAATAATATGAATAGATGAAAAGAAATACAAATAATGTTTACCAATTGGATATCCAACAATTAAAATTGAATTCTGTAATTCAGGTAGAATTTCATTGAATATCAATGAATTTACATTATTCCAGAATTGTTTATCATCAACAGTCAACATAACCAAATCACATTCATGTGCAATGTGTAATATATGTCCAGGATATTTCCTTGTATCACCATGTTTTTGAATACGAATAACAGATGAATTTGAAACAGCATGAGCATTTGAAAGAATTCGTCGATCGTTTATTATAAATCCTGATAATACTGTGGGAAAATGACGTTTCGTACCACATATTCCGAACACCTGGCAACGTGTTCGGTTGTTCGGAATGCTAGATATCCAGAAATATTTACCAGATGTTCGCAAAGCTCTTGCTTAAAAATGATCATGAGATGCCTAATTCGACTTATATTATAAGTCAACCACCGACCGGCTAATATCAATTCGAATATAATTATACATATACATCAGTCTTATAAAAACGATTAGATAGGAATAGGAATAGATTTAGTTTGACTTATACCTGTACATCCGCACACCCTCGATCTGACAAAGTAACATTTGATACCGAAGAAATTTCAATGAGTGAGTTCAAGTAAGGCTCAAGCCTAATGAGCCTATGGGCTCCACCGCCTATGTTCCAGTTTATATTCAGATCTCAGGAAGCTCGTCTGATCATACAAAAAACTATCCAAATCGTGAGACATCACAATCTGAAGACAATTCACAAGATTTTCAATGCTATCAATTATACATCAATCATTGTAACTACATCTCAACCAAAATAACTCCAAAATGAATGAGCCTCAACCTTCCCTTGCACTCCAAACGACCGAGAACTGAGAATCAAATCTAGAAAAACTAAGATACAAATCGCAACAAATTCCAACCATCAAATTAGTATGAAAATTTGACCAACTTCTCAAAATCAACACATCCAAAGTAAGGATCAAATAAAAAAATTTCTTTATACAAACTACGACATAGTTTCCCTCGATTTTCTAGACACATATCCTATAAAAACCATCGTAACAATCAATTCATTCTGGGTTTGATTGATATTCGTTGGTCTTTTTCATTCTTCCTTAAACTCAGTGTCTATCAATCATTTTAAGCGTTAAGTCATCTCACGACACTGTGGAAATCAGTCGAAACACGTCATGGCAGCTATTAGTCACACATCCACACTCCATGGTTGCCGTCTCTTTAAGTCTCCCATATTACTATTATGTGTGTGTGATGGGAATAAAGGTAGCGAGGAAAAGGAAGAAGAAAAATAGGAAAGGAAAGGAGAAATACGAGATGAGAAACAGATAGAGCAAAGAAAAAGAAATAACAGAAAAAACGTACGCGTGTGACGAAACAGAAAGAAAGGAAAAGAAAAAGGCAACTTGTTTGAATCGAACTCATAAATGTGTTCTTATTATCGCATGAAACAGTGATGACGAAAACTGCTGCTTTCGGTACGTTTATTCACGTGGTATTTTTGCCTTAGCAATAGTTTCTCAGCCGACATCTTGAGAGTGAGGATGCGCCTCTTCTTCATCCTCTAAACCCTCATTTTCACGACTCATTTATAAGTTTGATTAGATTATTATTTTAGATAGCTTGGTGCAACAGCAAGTGAGAAACTATTGGTCCATCAAATTCAAGCTGATAAGATATATATACGTATATATATATATAATGGATACGAATGAAACCGCTCCAGTAGTTCTGCAAACAAAGCAGCACTTCGAAGTTCTGGACGGATTAAGGGGAATTGCTGCGCTGGCCGTTGTAACGTTTCATTTTATGGAATGGGTTTATGTTGATCAAAGCAAGAACTTTATTGGACACGGTTTTTTAGCTGTCGATTTCTTCTTCTGTCTTTCGGGATTTGTGATCGGATATGCCTATGACGATCGTATAGCAAAAATGGACGTTCTTGAGTTTTTTAAATCAAGGATCATTCGGCTTCACCCGCTGATTATAGTAGGATCAGTATTAGGCCTGCTGGCATTTTTGTTCGACCCATTTGGTGGCCATCCCGAATTGTACAGCACCGACAAAATCATATTGATATTTTTTTGCTCGATACTGCTTATTCCTTTGCCTGTAATAGCCGACCGTGGTTTTAATCTGTTTAGCTTCAATGCACCGTCATGGTCTTTGTTTTGGGAATATGTCGCCAATATCGTCTACGCATTGGTACTTTATAAGATCACTCGTGGCTATCTGCTGCTGTTCATGATACTCTCGGCGGTGTCTATTTGTTCGGTATGTTACCATGCCGGCAATTTATTGGGCGGCTGGAGCGGCCCAACCTTTTGGCACGGGAGCGCTCGGATATCGTATTCTTTTTTAGCAGGACTTCTTGTTTACCGTTCCAATTGGATCATCAAAAGCAAGCTGGGATTTATCGACATAGCCATTTTATTGCTCATTGCCTTTATCATACCATTCTCAAAATGGAATTGGTTATCTGAACCTTTCGTAGTATTGTTTTACTTTCCCTTGCTGATCGCTTTAGGCGCAGGAGCTACGTTAACACCTAGCTTAAAAAAGGTTTGCATATTCTCGGGAAAGATCTCTTACCCATTGTACATGACGCATTACGCTGTGCTATGGATGTTTGGTAATTATTACATCAGTCATAAACCAGGCACTACGCAACTGACGCTCATCATCACAGCTGGACTAATCCTGTTGGTCGGGGCAGCGTACTTTGTAATGATAATTTACGATATTCCCGTGAGAAAATATTTAAACAATAAACGAAGTGAAAGGCTTGCTAAATAAGAAGCCAGTGGCATTTAAAATTCTGGATTTTTTCTTAATGTGATCTTATCTGTATAAGTTACGCTTTGATGATTATCAGAAATCAAACCTGACGGTTACAAAAGAAGAACAAATCACGTGTTAAATCCTTTCAACATATTTAGAGATTAAGCATGGTCAATACCAAAACTCCCGGTTTTGAGGTATAAATACAGGATAAAAGCTGATTATAGATCTTAAGAAACATATATCCTTTTGTCGGTTATGTGCTGACAATAGTTAACATATCGCTTAAAACCATCGATGTATTGACCTTAAATTAGATTTATACCTAGTGCCAGCCAGGCTGTACTGTTATTTATGTACCTTGAATACAAAGTATGAAAAACACAATGCTCACAATATAAAAGAAACTATTTGTACTATCATTAATAATGCTTCTATCCAACTTATTTTACAAAAGTAAAGAAGTTAAATCATATATTTGTATTATGTGTATTATTTTCTGATAAAGATGTCAATATAAGATATTCTGAAATTTCTATTATACAAAAAATTGTGCTTAGATTTACCCAATTGATTAAAAAAAGTACGTTGAATAGAATCTCCTGTATAGGATATCAAATTATTCATTACATATACAATCATTATTGTGATCAATTTCCAAACAATGGAATCACTGTTAATAATCAATATTAATTAGAAAATAACAGTAGGTTAAGCATGATATAATTTCTTCAAATTTCGCTTTCAATTTCATTGCACAATTTATCATTACAGTTATATCATGACTGCACGTACGAACTGAATTAAATTATTAGAGTATGATATTTTGTATGCAATCTTTAATATCTATCATATTTAGTTCATCTAGATAAAGAGTTTTACATGGATCATATATCATTTTTTATTCTATCAATAATATCAACAAACAGTTATTGTGATCAATAGTCGCATATAAGCAACGAAATACATTCTGAACATACATATAAATTGACATAAAAATGCAGTAACAAAACCCAGAAGCAAAAATTCTTTGGAACACTGCATTGAAATTTTCTAGTGAAATCTTATATACTTTAGAAAAATTCCTGATATGTTTTTACGAAGACAAATCTAACTAAAGTTCTTTGAAAAATCGTACAAGTGATATATGTATTCATACTATACATATAAAAAACGGAAGAGAATGGTCATATGGAAAATACCTATATATATATATGACTCATCACATGACGCGTTGTATTACGTACCATAAAAATTATTCTCAATCTTCAATTGAATGAAAATTGAACAACTATTTGAACAGATTATTCACAATCAGACTTTTTATCTTGTTACGTAAATCAGTCGAGTTCTTTACTCTTTAATCATCTTTTATGTACTTTCCTTGAAGATAAGTTTATCTTTTTATAAGAGTATGTCATGCATGACAGTTAAAATAGGATTAAAACTTTTTTTATAATTACTTTTCTTCCTAAACATGACTTTTAGTAGATGAGAAAAATTCTGGGTAAATCGTTAGCTTAATTTTCAAAGATTACACACTTTGTGTATTAGCAAAATATATCTATGATACCATAAGAAGAAGCCAATAGATGTAACATGAAAACATCGCTTCGGTATAAATGAATAACATAGACATAAACTTGTGTAGAAAGCAACAAAAATAATCAGTTTAAGTACACAATGGTATATATTTTCTTATACTATCTATCATTCAAATGAATTTATGTTATAGACTTCGAAATGTAAGATTATTGAGTAGTAGATACAACTATCAACTCTACAAGTAAGTCTCCATTTCGATATATTTTGACACTATACTATCGAAAAGCTATGGCCATTTCCATACGGAAGGAAAGTTTAATCAATATCTCTTGAATCATATCTATGAACAAGTTCAATGAATAATTTATAAGATTTTTTTAGAGATAGAGGAAGGCATGCGCCGCCCAACTATTCTCTAGAAAGACGCCAACACGACAGGATTAAAAATCATAAGGCGTTTGTATTTATTCCTAGAATATGTCAGTGAAGATGATAAGATTTTGTTAACATGTTTAACCTAGAGAAAAAAAACTAAGAAGATTTTTTTTGTATAGAGTTCATCATTTTACTCTAAACAATCTTTAAACAATGTTACAAAATGAAAATAGAATCATTGGACTTATTCTAACTTCAATAACATTTATTCTTACAACATTTGCAATGATGATATCATTAATAGTATTAGTAATTCTTATTTATCAATGGTATCGCAATTGTATAAAAAAAGAAGATAAAATAACAATATATCTTTGTATTCATATCTATTTATCTCTATTAATATTGGCAGCAATTATACTATCAATGAATATTCGAACATTGTTGGGTGATTTAACTGGACAATCATTTGATTCATCATGGTGTTTATTTTCAGGATATCTTGCTTTAAATCACGTTTCCATAATGTATATGGCGTTTGTAAATCAAGTAAATAGAAATAATGAAAATGCAAAAGATATTTTCATTTGAATATATTTTAGGCACTTTATCGTTTAGTTCGAATTATTTATCCTCGATATCGATATTTTCAAAATTTGACATTCTATACTTTTCTTTTTATAATAGAATATTTATGTATATTTGGTATTCACTGTGTTATTATAGCTTGGAATGGAGTTATATATTTAACTAATGATCATTTTTGTTACGTTTCATTTACAAATTTACTAGCAGTGATGTGGGCAGCATTTTTTGCTTATTTATTTCCATGTTCATGTCCAATGATAATTTATATTCGAATAACAAGATATCTTCGAAAGCAAGCAAATACTGTAACATTAGTAACTAGACAAAGACTAGATCGAGACTTTTTGATTGTTCGACGAATTTCAATTATACTTGGTTTGTTACTTATTCTCGGTATTCCAGCAATGATCTTTATCTTAAGATTTGCCATAACAGGTGATTATCATCCGCTGACACTTCGTATTTCATGGACGCCAGTTGCAATATCAATAGCAGGATTAAATGTTGCATCAGCATATTGTATTCCACAATTGAAAAGTACCATAAGAAAAGTTTTCCAACATCGAATAACAGTCATTTCTGTCGCTGTTCCTCTTGGAAGAACTGAAATGTAAATTACTTTTAACTTTGATTGATTTTGTTGTCTTATGCGTTTGGGGATGCGTAAGGATGTGATGGGATGCGTTTGTTTAGAAAAAGAAATAAATGTAGAACACTGTAATATGACTATCATATACATTTCTATCATCGGAAATCATCACAATTGTCATGCAGCATTCATATCAAATCTATTTCAATCTTTGTTATCAATAAGAACAATAGACATGTCTTCATTTATAAATTCCAACTAATTGACCTTGGCTTATTTCAATATATTTTTATATCCTCTTTAAAAAACAATTGTAAGATGATGCAAACTAATCGTTTCTTTCAAATTAATTAAAATGTCTAAAAATATTTTAATATGGAAAAGATAAATTCTAAAATTCTCCTTAACAATTATGAAAAGAAAATTATCTCTTCATGTTGTAGTAAATGATGAAAAGTATCTGATAATATTTCTGATATAGTCATTATTTTCAATAATATGGTTTAAATAAACTTTTATCATTATGTATCGCTTTAAGATTTAGGTACTATGAAGATATAGTCAATATATTAAGTAAACAAAAATGTGAAAGTACTTCGAAAAACAGATACTGGTCTAGAGTTCGTATCTTTGATACTTGATGGATAATGAACAAATTTATTCAAATAAGAATGTTTCGCGCAATAGCATTACAAAAATAGTTGAGAATTTTTTCAGATATGTATGAAAAATTCTGAAATAAATCAATCAAATATATTGAAAGACTAGTTGCACGAACCATTTATGCTTGTAAATAAGGGGTTTCTAAAAGGAATAACAGTACAAATTTAGTAACATTGAGTTTGTTCACATGTAAGCAAAAATAAAAATATCACGATCCTTTATCGTATAAGTCTTCAATTGAAGGTTAAAAATGCTGCATTTTGAATTCCTATCGTTTATAGTTTTTAATAGAATTTTAATCATATAACAAATCTTCATATTAATAGTCTTTCAATTATATTTCACAAAAGAAGCTAATTTCAATATGACAAAATTATAGTCACAAGTTCTTTTTCCACGAAAATTAATGAACTTGGAATATCATGAATTTCATCATCTCATTTGAAACAATCTTCAAACAATGTTACAAAATGAAAATAGAATCATTGGACTTATTCTAACTACAACAACATTTGCAATGATAATATCATTAACAGTATTAGTAATTCTTATTTATCAATGGTATCGCAATTGTAAAAAAAAGAAGATAAAATAACAATATATTTTTGTATTCATATCTATTTATCTATGTTAACGATGGCAACGAATTAGTAGTCAAATAAAAAAAGCACTTGAGCAAACTGATGCAACGTTATATTGTTCACATTTTGTCTATTTTCATATGCTTTATCACTTATATCCTAATTAATTATTACCGATTATCGAATAAACCGCAATCATTCTACTGAACAAAATTAAATCCTTTTTACAACTATAATTTAAAAAAGCATAGTTATCTTCAACTCGATTCGAAGCATATGAAATGAATTTATCTATCGATTAAATTTTCATAATATGACTGGTTGGATTTATGGTTAATCAGATCAATTTAGTGAAGAAAATGAAATATCTATGGATGGATGGACGGCATATTGCTTGTTGCTCATCTGATGGTAATATATAATTTACGTCAATGTTCGGAATATTGGTAGATTCGTTTCTAAAATTTATCCAGATTTAATTCATAAATTTGTTTTAATAACAGATGATGGTGATTTATTATCATCAAATCTAAAATATTTAGTACAAATTGATTTACAAATTATTCACTGATTTCGTCAGAATGGTGAAATTGATAGTTGAAAAAGCAAGAAATTTACACATATTTCTATGGTTAAAATATAAATTCGCAATTATTAAACTTGTAAAATCTTTTTGTTTTATTAAAAATAACATCGATGCTCTGAAATGATGAATGTAATAAAAAGAATTTAAAAGAAATAAAATAGTCATAAATCATCACAAATTTACATTGATACTGAGGAATCAATAGACTATATATTCAACTAATGGATATGATTTATCGAACAATATTTCCTACCCAATACTGACAAAAGAGGAATTTGTCAACGTATTTTGAAAGATCTATGCAGTATAAATCAAAAGAAAAAGAGAAGAAAACCATTTATCACATGTTTTAATAAATCACCCGATGTTAATTCATCAAAACTTACCGATATGTATGGTAAAAAGTAGTGCTATATCTTGATAGAATACCGATTGTTTGAAATTCGTCTTTAGATGTTTTTCATAAAAGTTGACATATTGCTACTATCATTCAAAAAACTATAATGTAATCACTGAAGAATTTTCAATGAACAAGTATTATCAAATAAATAAAATATATCGAATGGAAAAATGATGTAATGCATAAGATGTTGATTATCATAATATCAATGTACTGATTTAAATTATATTACAAAGTGAAATTTTCTTTAAAATAAAAATATTCTTTTGGATTTTTTATTGTACTCGATTGATTAAATATATAGAGTAGGACTATAACAATGGATTAGAATGAAATTTCATTAGTTTATTTGATGTTGTAAAGACATATCAATTAGAAATAGAAGAGATAAGAACGAATAAAGATAATTCATGATGTTCCTTTATTTAAAAAAATATAATAGAGAAAAATGAATATAAATCTTAATCAAATTTACTATGGTCTTTCTTTTCTTTATTCAGTCTGATTTAAGATATTATTTTCAATCCATTCCAAGGAATATTGAAAAACATCATTACGTTGAGTATCATTGTGTAATTCATGGTGTAATCCTTCCCAAATTTTAAATTCTTTGATTTTTGTAGAACTTGATCGATCAACCCAATCTTGTATAACTTCTCTTTTGATGATAGATTTTGTACCATATTGAATTAAGAGTGAAATAGGAAATCTATATCCTCTTTGTATTTGAAATGATGCTTCAAGCATAATGTCAAGTGTTCTAGCTGGCCATCGATCGTGAACGTAACGATCGTTTTTATAATTTCTTAGTACTTCTTCATCATCTGTAACTTCTATAGCATATTGTTCTGCTCGTACTGGTAGACGAACAGTAGGTGATAGATTAGAAAAGGTACGAACAATACCTAATTGGATACGACCGACTTTAGCTTTTGGAAGATTGGCAGCTGGTGAAGAAACAATAAGACCTTGAAAAGGTAGTTTATCCGTGTGTTTCATTGCATAAAAAATGATGATAGATGCACCGATTCCATCTCCCCAGATGATAAGAGGAAGTGAAGGATATTTTTGTTTAATTTGATCGATTGCAGCATCTGTATCACCAAAACTTGCTTTAGCATTTGGAATGAAACCACGTTCACCATGACTTCTACCATGACCTCTCCAATCATAATCAAAGACGGCAAAATGATGTTCACTGAAAAATTGTTGAAGAAATGTTGTACGAGCACCATGATCACCAAATGTATGAATAAAGAGTAAAGATGCTTTTGGTTTATCAACAGGCCAATGTCTACCAGACAACATTATATGATCTTCATAAAAAGATTGAAACTCAATTGCTTTTGGTGCATTCGATTTACTGTTTGTCTCTGTCATTTAAAAAAAAATAATGTTTGTATTTTTCTAGAAAAAAAATTATATTATTAAGTATACTGATTTACGGTATGAGATGTGTTTCAGTCGATTTAACCTGCATGTTTAATACGCGATATAACTTTTAAAACGACCGATTGATTATATACTAGTTTCCATTGATTTTAACTAATTTGTTTAAAAAATCGTTACACAGGATGACTCATAATTAACACAATCAAAACATAAAAATTCAATATCTCTTTTACGGTTCGAGTAAAGAAGCTGATCTTTTATCATTGATAGAAACATGTAGAAGTTTTGTATTCATAAGATAATGTCTTGATAGATCCTTTACTGTATACATCTGTTGATTTCTAGAAAAAAAAGTTAACATAATATAAGATGAAAGATCGCTTACTTAGAGAAAATATAATGAACTTCCAAATAACATGTGTTGTATGTGAATATATGTTTTCCTTTCTTTTTCTTGAAGTCAATAGAGATACATAATAAAGGATCTATCAAGATATTTCCTTACGAATATAAAAAATATACATCAGACAAATAATAAAAGGAATAGATATTTTAGAAAACACGATTAACTAAACAGAATGTTGGATACCTTAATTTATTTCAGTAAAAACACGTTTCAGTAATATAAGACTTTGAAAAAATAAATTTAAGTAAATAATCGACATTTTTATTACTCTTTTTTTTCTTTCTTTGTTATTTCTACGGTAATCTTTCTTTCTGAATAAACAAAGAGAGCAATAAATAGCTTCCCTTCATAGTAAAAATTGTATTTACTCTTTGATCGAATGATTTGTTGTTTTGGAGTACAAAACTGATACAATGATGCTGCTAAGAAAAATTTGTTATTAAACAACGAAATACAAATGTTCATATTGCTGAAAGTATAAATGAGAAATGATTTGCGATACTAACATTAACTAACATTTGCAAGCTTTCGACTTGACAATTGTTGAATTCCTTTGACAGTTTAATTTTAGATTATATTGTAGACTCAAGATGTGTTCATTAAGTAATTCTAATCCATCAGCAGCACTTACTAAACATAAGCACAAAGAAATAGCACGATATTTAAAACGAATTAAACATCTACCACCATCCCCATTTTACTTGGCTTGCGAGAATGGTGATTTTGCTTACGTTGAGAAGCAACTAAAAATGCTTTCATCGGATGAGCTCGATCAAATAGAATCAACTGGTGAAACTTCGCTTCACATCGCAACACGCAATAATCAACTTGAAATTGTACGTCTATTACTTGAAAATGGCTGCAGTCGAAATATTTACAATAGTTCCGGTAAATTTCCTTATCAAGAAGCTCGAACGAATGAAATGAAACAATTATATGCACCGCCTAATATTTCTCAGTTCTTTGAAGAAAATCCGAAAGTCTCCTATGGTATTTTCGTACCTTTACAGCAGATTGGAAAATTGGCACGACCATACGCAACCAATCCGAATCAGATTACAACAACAGGAGATGCTAACCACAGTAATGGCACCTCTGTCAGAGATCAGGAATTAAAAAGCGAACAGGAAGTTATACAATATATCACAAATCGACAGGCATTGGCCATGTGGATTAAAATTTGTGCTTGGGTTTATCATAAATGCGGTGGAGCGATAAGAAGAGATGAAGAAGAAGGAAATGATTTTGCACCAGAACTCTTTGATCTAGATAATGACCGAGATTTAGAAACTTTTTTAAATTCTCTTGCTCCAAACGAAACTCAACCAAATTTAATTGTGAAACAAAGTATTGAAAGAGAAGAAACACAAGTGTTAACCTGGAAACAACGTTTTATGAACGTATGCTGTTGCAAGAATGTAATAGCTCCTGCATCACAGCCTTCTCAATTGACTACCACCGATTCTGTCCGCACTGCTCAACCAAATCGTGATCATTTAAAACATTCTTCTTTACAGAGCATTCACGGACAATTAGCATGTAGTAATAATCCCAGAGACTTTATTCGGGCATCGAAGGATTTTAACACAGTCGTTCCTCTAATTTACTTATATACAAAGCAAGAACTACGATTCTATGCTGAGTTAAATAAGAATCTAGCTACCATAGACAATAATCCAAATCGAGCTGCATCCATATGCGATCGTTTCGTTCGAGAATTTGATTTAAGAGAAGCTGAACTTTCAAAATTTGGCTTCATTGGTGTAACATATCGAGGTACGACTATGTCTGAAAGTGATTTTGAACATTACCGTCAAGCAAGTGAACAAAATCCAAAATGGACGATTGTACCTCGAGCTTTTCAATCTACAACAGTTAAACGTTCAAAAGCGATGGAATTTATTGATTTGAAGAGAACAAAAGGAAAACATGTTGGATTGTTAGTCTATCATATTCCTGTTGCTTGTTCTACTATATTTTCAGTTAAAGAAATTTCTCGATATCCTCAAGAAGAAGAAGTATTGATTATGCCCGGTAATCTATTTACAATAATGAAGGTTACACAATGTGTGGATAATCCAGATCTACCTGAAGTCCATTTAGAACATGTAAAACGAGATATTTCATTTTTTAAGAAAGTTCGAACAATCTTTCGAGCAGCCACAACAACAGCTTCTGGAATCGATTAATATGATAATTGTTTTCTATCTACTATTTTACTTAAATTTTACATATGCTATCTGGTTCTTTCGTTCCTTTTTTTTTCTTTTTGAAGGCGAGAGTGTAGCGTGTGTATTTTACTAATGGATAAAAATGAAGGATCGGCCATAGATTCTGTTGCTTAGTGAAATGACAACTATGTTTTTACTTTCAAAATATTATATGCATGAACTTTATTAATCTTAGTTAAGTTACAAAGAATCATGTAAATTGCTTTTTTTAATCTCTTTTTAATCGTTCGATAATTTTACCTAATCGATGATTATTATCAAAAGCGTCCATTTCTTCAAAATAACTATGAGCAAGTTCTATTAAATAATCTAATGTTTCTTTTCGTATATCATCCAGTACAATTGGATTTTCAAGCCAAATTTGCCATCGATGATACATATCAGTGTTTAATATACTACTCAATTGATAATCAATATTGTTCTGTGGACCATCAAAAATGACTTTTAATACACTAGTCGAATTATTTCCCCAAAATAAAAGACTTCGCTGTGCATTTGGATTCAATGGATCGGGTACATAATCTCCAGTACCGAGAGAGAGAATAAAAATATTATCACGATTGATATTTTTAGTACACGCGTCAGCATAAGCGATCATTGCTGGATTGTTAGCTTGAACTCCACCATCGACAAAAACAGAATTACTTAATTTATAAGCTGGAAAATAGGTTGGTGCAGCTGTTGTACACATGAGAATATCACTAAATTTGTGATTCCGACTAGGATCCTTCAAGCCATCACTTCGTCGAAATAATTCTGTCGCACTACTACCGGAATTAACCGTCGTTATAATAAGTTCCGTTAGTGCGTGTGATAAACGTGTATCCTTAAAATATTGTTCAAACAAATCTTTTTTATTTGCTTCATGATATTTAGGCCAAATTCCAAAAAAATTTTCCCATCTTGATGTTTGAGTAAAGACTTTATCAGAGTGTAATGTATACAATTCAACGATATCAACAGCTCCATAACGAGGTTGTTTGATACTTATAGATGTATCAGGTAAGGAAAGACACGCAGTTACAATTGCTCCTGTTGATGTTCCAGCCATCATATGAAACATTGAACTACTACTTAAACCAGTTCTACGTTCCAATTCACTCATCCATACAGCTGGTATTAATCCTCTTATCCCACCACCATCAATAGAAAGAATATTGTATTGATCAAACTTCGGTTCACCATGCTGTAATGCCAACCGTTTGTAACTTTCAATTCGTGTTTTACCGATTTCTTTTTTCAATCGAAATATAAAGTCTAACTCATTTTTTGCTTCAACATAATTATTTTGCAATTTAAGTGCAGTTTTAATTGCAACTTCAGCTTCATCATAATTTCGTAATTTACGTCTCAAAACTCCTAATAAAAGCCATCTTTCTGCTGAATCACGAAAATATTCTTTGTCATCAACATTTTCTACTAAGAATTCCTTAGCTAAAGTATATTTGTTTAGCATTATTAAACATTTAGCATATCCTAACATTGCATGAAGATGTTTACGATTGAGTGTTAATGAATCTTTGTAAAATTTCATTGCGCGATTCCATTGTTGTAATGATTCTAAATGATGAGTTATATTTATTTTTTCAGCTTGGCATTGATAATAATATGCAATTTTATTCAATAAATCAACCTTGGCTTTTGTATCATCAGTAGATTGTAAATGCTTATGAAGATAAACTAAAGTATCATTACCTGTAACAAATATTCCTTTCACTGGTTTTGCTCTTGTTGAATCACAGCTTCTTTCTGTTAGAACATAAACAGAAATTTTGGTGTCCTTACTGGAAAAATCTAGCACTTCTTTGGTAGAAACAAATAAATATTTATGTTCAGAATGGAATTCGACAGTACATAATCGAAATATCAAATGATACATTGAAGACAAAAATGGTAAATATTGAAATGTTAATGAATGTTTACTTTGTAAAAATAATACTTTCCATACTTTGATATTTGGAATCTCTTCTCTAAACATTATCTCATTTATCCAAGATTTAATAGGTTCCTTATTGTTATAATAATAAGAAAGTACATCTTTAGCAAATTTTGTTTTATATAAAGTGAGACATTGATTTAACATTTTATCCAATAACATAAATTCGTCAACTTCATCATCATCATCAAATAAAACAGCAGGTTCACAATGTACAATATCTCCATCATCAGTTAAAACTTTATCAATATTTTTTATAAGAACATTACTTTCTGATTGAGCTGATGGTTGATTAGGAAACATTATTTCTTATCTAAAAAAGAATACATCATCAGTATAACGTAATATAACAAAAGCGTTTGTTTGTGAGCGCAGAAAAAGTAACCTGACAACATAAGGATCATTACTTTCATGACAGATTATCATTGAAGAAAAGAAAAATTTTCATGTGCTTAAATTAAAAATAATTTTATAACAAAGATCATTACTCTTCTCATTCTTCTTTATGTGGGTAGGAAAAAAGTAAGATGAATATTGCCAGCATCGAAAATGAATAAATAAATATAACATTACTAACATAATTACTTTCGTCAGGAAAACTTTTGAAAGAATTTCATGTACGAAAAAAATAAGTGAGTAAAGTATGCATTATTTCGAATGTCAGTCCATAAAAAACATGTGATACATATAAATGGAAGAAGAAATCGATATCGTTTATAGAAATTAATAGCACGACCCTAGGCGAACTTTTTTTTACAAGCGCATGAGATTCTTGATATTCTTGAGTCAAGACTTGGGACCTTTGAAAAACCAAAGCGCTTGCGTTTCTTGGTCAAGCGACATTTATGTGAGTATGTAAAAAAGATGTCATTTTTTTGTGCTTCGATTATTTACCGTTTAGATGGCGTTATCTATAAGTCGACTTATGATAACGAAAGCGAATGAATTTACACTAATGAGAAAACGAGATAAAACATTACAAAATGATGAAGAAGCATTAAATGAAGCATGGAAGGTGGCAAAGGAGTCAGTCCGACAACTCAAACATGATAATAAAAGGAACAAAATCTTCAAAGAAATTAGAATGTCAAATACCTTCAATCATGTTTCTTCATTTAACGATCCTGATAGTAATCCAAATGGTATTGTTGAGAACTGATTTTGATCCTTTTTTACGCTTTACCGCTCACATTTATTTATTATTAATAAAATTTTATAGTTAAACGAGCAAATTTTGTAAGAGAGAGAAAACAAAGAACACATTTCAAATCGACAATTAGATTTGATTACGGTAAAATTAGCAACCTTAACTATTTTGTCCAAATTCATCGTTTCTAAACAATTTATTCATTTAATCTTCATGTGTGAAGCACATGAATATCTTGATCTTGACGCTTGATTCATACAAGCATTCAAGCGCTTGTCAATGGACAGAAAATCACACGCGATGGACACATCTTGATATCAAGTCAGGTCAAGCGCATGAAAAAAAAAGTTCGCCTAGGGTCGATGTATTTACTCTTTTGTGATTAAGTCGTATATTGTTGACTATTCTTATGGGATATAGTAGTGTATGAAATTTGGTTAATAATTGAGAGAATATCAACGAAATTCGTAGTGAAAATTATTTTCGATTATTGCTTTAGTTTTTCTTATCTATGTATTGCATCATAAAGTTGTCAGTTTATGAAAAAGTTGAGAAATTTATATTAATGATTGTTATAGTTTTTACCTGAATCTAACATGAATGTTTCCATATTCTTCAGACTGTGTTGTAACGACGAGGAAATGATCGTCAACTAATGGTAAATTTTAAAAAAAGCCAAAGTAATTATGTAAAAAGAATGTACTCGTTGAGAAAAAGCAAAAAAAGACTTGTCTTATCTGTCGACGACTCGTTTTTTTTTCTATGCGACAGAACGAAAGGAAAAATCCCTTTCATTTACCATTTGTACTGAGAGAAGGTCGTGAAAAGAAAAAGAAAAAAAGAAATAATGACACGATATGTAATCATTCGTTGCCATTTATGGAAGTTGTTACTAACACTAATTCACAGTCGAAGAATCAATCAAATTGTTTATCTCGATGGTGGAATCAAACTTATTCTCATCAAAAACGTATTGAATCATTTCTTGAACATCCTTTTTTTCATCTTCTTATCATTATACTGGTCTTTGTGGAATGTGCATCTGTTATAACCGAAATTCTTCTTTATAATGTTAAACGTCAATATGAATGTCACAATCCGCAGCATTTTTCTTCAAAAGCTGACATAGAAAAGAAAACACATCAGCTTGATCATGGAATTGAAATTTGTCATTATACATCATTGAGTATCTTATCGATATTTATGATTGAATTGTTTCTTAAAATGTATGCACTCGCTTCTCATTATTGGAATTGTAAAGAAAATCATAAATTAGATTATCTTGATGCATTTTTAGCCGTTTTTTCTTTTTCAACAGAAATTTATTTTCTAACTGTTGACAAAGAATCTGTAATTGCTCATTCAGCTATTCTTATTGTTATACTTCGTTTATGGCATCTTTTACGAATTGCTAATGGTTTGTATATATTTAAACATTATTGTTTTAAACGAACGATGGTCTGTTTTAGCTGTAGCACGATGTTTCCAGAAAGGTAAAGAATTTAAAACAATTCGTCGACAACGTCGTTTGTCAAAAACTTCGGAAGCCTTACTCATTCCGTCAAGTATTCAAGCAATACTGGATTTAATGCAAGAAAAAACTGAATGTTTGCGACGTGATATTAGTGTTGAACAATCATTAGTTGAACGTTTTGAATTTATTGATCAAAAATGTCAAGATGCTTTTGATGATTATTATGGTGATGAAACAAAACTTGTCGAAGAAATACAAAAACTTCATTTAATCACTAGACGAACACAGGTAAAACAAAAGAAAGAAATCAACGTTTGATTATAACATTTAAACATGTATCTCACAATATTCTCTAAAAATAAGTTTTTATTTGAATCTTTTTTTGTTGTAGTGAGTAGTTTTTGGCAAAGTTCGAGGAGAAATAAAATCCATTCTATATGAATATTTAAACTGATATAATATAGTTATTCATAGAAAGAAAGTGAATAATTTGGACTATTTTAGTCTTGACATACGACCTGACGGGTAAAAATACGTAAATATAAAATAAACTAAAGCATTCACATCCGCATTTTAAGACTAAAACAATGAATATTATTAGAGGTCTACAGTTCAGTACAAGTGAACTAAATTATGTATGTGTACTTATATTTTCATTCTCAAACAAATATTTTGCGATATTATAGTTACATCATCGAGACTTTTTTTTCAATACTTACTTTTCTTTTTTTATAAATGAATCAAAATCATCAAATGAAATTGTTTCTTCATAAATTTATGTTATTATCGTCATTGTGATGAAACGATAGATCCATAAATCTTTCAACATCGATCAATATGATTTAGAACAATTGAATCATTTTCCATTGAAATATTTGATGGAATGTTTTTATTTTGTGGATATAAAAACTCTGATATTTTCTATTCGATATATCGTGAATATTAAATCATATCCCCAAATCTTTTGTTTCTATTTCGGATCTTTTATTAAAATCTGAAAATGATCCATTATTAACACTTTCAAATGACATAAAAAAAACTTATGCAATTAAATTATTTATTTTAAATATTAATATTCAATATTTTACTCACCTTCGTTCAATTAAATTTCATTTTTACAACGAATTAATTCTCATTTTCTTTATTTATATTTCCTATAAGAGAATAAAATAGGAAATTACAAACTTCAATCTTCGCCGTTTAGAATTCGATGGAATAAATGATCAATCAACAATGAATATATAATCAATGAATTGTTCTACTGCACATTTACTTGTAAAAAATGCATATCGATGAATAATCTTCGTACAACACTTCAACATATTCCTTATTGAAATTCAATAATTATAAAAGAAACTATTAATAGATTATATTATGATAGAAATTTTATATTTTCATCATCAATTTTAATTTTTCAATTATTAACATTATAAGTACAGAAAATAATTGGTTGTTTATGGATCAATTGGAATTATGTTTATCATGAATACCATCATTAATCAATTCATGTGATTAGAAATAAACGGACTTTATATGCAAAGAGATAAATTATTTAACTGGAATATTATTTAAAAAAAAACAGTTTGTATAAACATCTGTTAGCAGTAACAGTTAAGAATTAGAAATGTCTCGCATGTGTAATTCAATTCCACTTAGATATATATGAGTGAATTGCAAGTTTATGAAGATTATTTGTTTAATGTGAGAAGAACAAAAAGTATTTCCTATCGGATTTTACAGATATATTAACTTGGAATTATACATATGAATAATTAAAAATAGGATTGGAAATTCGAATTGAAGTAAATATATTTTCATTTCGTTTTGACAACAATGATTCGTAACCATATGAAAAGCAATAATCTTAAAGAGATTTTATACATTTGTCCGTTTAATAGCAAATGATAGAACCGTTGATATTCATTTGATGTTTCTCCATAACAAGAACAATCAAGAAAATCTTGTGGATTCTCCTTTTATTGTCATGTAGAACTATGGATGGATTATTTGAAAATCGCATTCGATTATTGTCACTTTAACGATACGTTCAAATACATTGATCATATTATCGATGAAATCGATAGTAGGAAAAGTGCATTCTTGAGCAGTGAGATGCGTCAGATTAGATATTAGAGAGAAAAGACGGTTTAGAATAAGAGAACCACTGGAAAACATAATATCGTAGAAATAAAGGTCACACACTATCGGCAACATCAATTGTGTATCAATTTGATGACAAGAGTAATATGAG